TTGTTTTTCTGAACTGGAATAAAGCCTCTACTTCTACTGCCAACTCTGGGATGGGATCCTGGATATTATTTTTTCTTCCTTAAAGGATAATTATTTAGAATTTTTTCTTGAACCTAGCCTTTGGGACTAGAATTTTTCTTGGAACCTGCTTTGGACTTGAATCTTTTCTTGGGATCTTAATTTTGGATCTTAAATATTTCTCCCTAGGATAATTATTATTTGGATATTAATTGTGATTTTTGGATAATTTACCACCTTAAGGATAATAATATTGGATTTAATGTGGATTTAAACATTTTTCACCTTAAGGATAATAATATTGGATTTAATTTGGATTTAAACATTTTTCACCTAAAGGATATCGTTATTGGATCTAATTTGGATTTAAAATTTGAGATGTTGGATTTAATCTTCTGATCTAAGAAAAACCTGTTTTACTGAGACCCAACAGTTGGAAAGTCCATTTTTAATGATCAGATGATCTGAATATGAATTTCATTGTATATGCCTGCGTTGTAAATTAAAATAACCTTGAATCCAGTTTCAGCAATAGCAGTGTGCAACTATTGCCCTAAGCACTTGTTCCGACCCAGAGCCATAAGTTAGTAGTTCAACAACAGGCATACGGGGTGAAGAGTGGGACAGACAGAGGCACCTTTCACCCTATTACAAGTCAGTTACTGATGGGCTATCAAAATAAAGTGTTTCCAGTGAGGGTAGCATCAAAATTATTTTAAGGCAGAAAAGTTACATAATGGGGCTTTCAGGAATGAATGACTCTGAAGCCTCCCACTGTGTCAAATGTTTATTTATTGAAGTGCAAAACTTTGCAAACAGAGCCTAAGGATCCATTTTATTTATTCTTTTGGTTATGTGGTTTTATTTGATTTATTTATTTAGGTAATTTTAATATTTTTTCCCATTCCAATGTCTGAATATTCTTTAGAATTTAAAGTTCATTGCTCTTTTAAAGGGTGTACTTGCATTATTATGCTTATCGTGAAATGAGTGGCATAAATTGTGTTAAAATGACGGTATCATTAATCACAATTATTTTTGGGACAATATATCATCCAATTAAAGTAGTTATGGTGACAGGCCAAATGGGTATCTTGGTGTTTCTTTTGGTGTTGCAGTGAAGAGTGAAAGTTATTTGACCTGACATAGCTGTGAGTGAGTGTTCCTCTACACCTTAATTGAGTCTAGAACAAGCAACCTGAGTGCTGTGTTGTCACTGTCTCACAGTCTGGATGCCATCCTCTGTCTTGCTGGCTGAATTCATCATATTGAATGAAGTTTGTGAGCCAGACTCAAGTACACTGCTGTCCCAGCTGTGAGACTTGAAGTCAGGGTCTCAGTGACAGTATGGGAAGATTCCTACAGCAGTGATTTTGCATGGACATTGATCTATGTCCTCGCCTGGCCCTCTTGACCTCGACTTAAGTGTCAAGTGATGAGACGAGTGTATATGTGAGATGGGGGTTAAAGGTGGGGCTTCCTGTGCCTCTGGTGTACCTATGGATTACCTATGACCTTTTCTTTCCATTGCTGTCCTCAGGGTGCTGTGAGGCAAATGACCTTTGTGATGGGGGATCCAGATGCTGCCAGAGACCACTGTACTCTCCATCAGCCTGCCTGCAACCTAACAACCTCCAATGCACTCTGGGTAGGAGACTCAAAAGAAACCTTTTTCTTTTCTTCTTTTTCATGTTTTTAGGGACGTAGGGGACATGAAATTGGTGAGACATTTAAAGGGTCACTGACTGATAAGTCTGATGATATTGTATGCAAATCTGCAAAAATTAGAGCTGAATTAAACTGGAATTTCCTTGTGTACTGTACTGTGTAAAGCAGGGTTAGGCAACCTACAGCACCCCCACTTGTTCCCTGTGGCTTTGACAAAAAATGATATGGAAATTAATAACTTTTATTGTTGAACATTTTCATTTATCATTGTTGTAGGCCTAAAGTGATTCTTACATTCTCTATAAAAATGTGTAGTCATTACACACTAAATAAAATGTTTTTTTAAACTGATTAAATCAACTTAAATATATCATACATTACATCCTGAGTCCTGACCTCCCTCTATTTTTTGTGGAATCTCAGTAGTTGTGCTACTAGTCTTAGTCTCCCTAGCTAGGCCAGCTATTGATTCCAAATCCAAAAAAGATTTTTGGATTAAAATAGTGAATAGTGCAAAGTAGTTCGTTAACGTTGTTTGCATTTTAAATTGTGAAATCTAAAGTATCACCAGACCTTGGATTAACCTGAGTAGGTAATGCTTCAATCTGCTTAAATCTATTGTTTCATTGTTGTAAACTTGTATCGCTTCTTCTATTTGCTCATTTAGAACAATTTTGGCACCAGGCCCCATGAGTCGTCTAACAGAGCAGAAGGACCTTCGCATGAGGAGACCATACATCTGGTGAGTCCACATTAGTGAGTGTGTGCACTGTTGAGAATGGACTACTTTCATTCACACAGACATTGGTTTAGGTTTTGATCCTGTTATCCCATCTGAGTGATTGCTCATGTGGGGATAGTTCTGTGATTCTGTTTTTGCTCACATAATGTGCTTCTACAGTACGTCTATTACGACAAACCTCAGCATAATGGTGCACACAGTGAGGGCATAGAAGTGAGAAGTGACAAATGGAGGGAACAGTGAATGAATGGCTTTAAGTGTGTACTGGGAAGTTAATTTTATTTGACTGATTTGTAGTATGTGTTTGTAAAGCTCTGACAGTATTTCATTAGCAGCGGCTGTAACAGCACTTAGTGCATCACAGCAGCATGTCATGTGTGTTCATGTGCAAATGCTGAAGGATGTGTTGGCTCTGATAAACACCCCCTCAGGGAGGATTATGGTTTGGGCCAGTGTTTATTCATTACCACTTCTTCTAGCTGCATCCTCAGTGCTGCCACTATCCACCCTCAAATGATATTTGCCAACTTTCCGCACTCAACAGAGGATGTACTTTTCAGGGTGGTGGGAGCCTAAAGGTTAGTGGTTCAGATGGCTATGTGGGTTGGGAAAATCCGCAGGGAGAAAGTGGATGATTAAAGATCTGCTTGCACTGATCTATTTTTTGCCCTTTAGCCTCACTGCATTTTGTACTCCCTTTAAAACACGAATGCTTTATCTAAAGAGGTGTATTGAATTTGAAAATGAATGTTGCTGATTTTTTGGAAATTGGGGTTCCTCCCTACTGAGGTCCTACTGTATGCATCATTGTATCATTCTTTCTAATCAAATAAGAATAAACAAAAACAATTTTAATAATGAAAAATGGAAGTGACCCTATCTAGAGCCAGTGTTTTGTTTGTCAGTACTGGGCTAGAAACATAGTGGTTCAACATGCTAGTCTCAATGGAAGGCGACACACAGCATCTGTAGATAAAAACAGCTTGTTCAGGTGATTATACACTAATGAAAACATACCTATGCATATTATTATACATAGGTGTATTCCACCTCTGCCAATAGATCCTCTTAAATGTTATACACTGGACCTTTAAACAAGCAAGATATAATGTGTTAACTGTTAGTATAGAGATGCTAGGTAACTTTGGACAGAGCCAGGCTAGCTGTTTCCTCTTGTTTCCAGCCCTTATGCTAAGCTAAGTTAACTGGCTGCTAGCTGAAGCTTCATATTGATCCCGTAATTTTACTCTGGGCAAGAAAGCAAATTGGCATGTTTCCCAAAATTTCAAGCTTTAGAAAGTGCTCGGCTCAGTTTCTTTTAAATCTGTGGCCCTTTCCAAAGATCCTTTCCAGATTTAAAGTCTGAAGCCTTGCTGGCCTGAAGAAAGTTCAAGAGAACACCAAAATAATTCGGCTGTCTGCTGAAAAGCATCCATACCTTTCATTATCTGACTGTTTGCTTTTATACAGTACTGAATATAACTTGACAGCGTGACAAGTGATTATTTTTGTTAATTAAACAGTGAAAATGTTGTTTTCATTGTTTAGTTTGTCATACACTATTTGAAGCAGCTGCCTTTTCTTTACCATGACATTGCTGACATGAAAAACTTTGAATGTGTTTTGGGAAATGCTCTGTACTGTGTCTACAGAAATATGGGTGGACTCCGAACAGATATATGCAATCTAACACAACAGGGCCACAAATGAGAGCTTTGAAACTGAGTACAGAGTAGGATAAGCACCTCTCTTGAACATTTTATAAACCATAAAATCTGATGAATGGAATAGTGGTTTTAGTTGCAATAGTCAAAACAATTTCCACCATCTCCTTTACGAGGCCAGGGTGCATGACCTCTGTTTAGCTGTTAATATCTGTGTCCGTTGTAGTGATTTGTTGTTGTCGAGACTTGCTGGTGCCCCTGGGCTACACCCCAACTGTTCAGAGGTCAGTCAGAATGACAGATGTGTTGTCAGGTCACAAGTTATGTTGGCCCACTGGATATTTCCTATAACAGCCTGATACAGCCCTGAGCTCTCAGACAAACAGAAATGCAGGGTCCTACAAAGATTTGGAAATCCACAGAGAAATGGAAGTTTTTTATCTTAGGGAAATGTTTGGGAATAACAGTATAAAGTGGGAACCAATTCATTTATGAATCATTTTGATGATTTGATTGAGCAAAACCAAAATGTGTATCAAAATGTCTTTGAATACAGCTTACCTCCTAAGTATGTAGGAGTAACAAGGCCCAAGAAACTAGGCCCTATCTAGAGGCAGTCTTTGGTTTGTCCGTTCTGGGCTGCTGTAGAAACATGGTGGTTCAACATGGCTGACTCTGTAGATAAAAACAGCTCATTCTAAGGTAACAAAAACATAATGATTATTATATTCAGGTGATTTATACTCTAATGAAAATATACCTAGGAATTTAATATTCCATTTCTGGCAATAAATCCTCCTAAATGTTACACGCTGGACTTTTTATAGCAGCTACTTTCTAAACCTGACACACATGGATGCAGATGATTGGCACAGTCAGAGAGTAAAAGAGATAAATTGCATTCCAAAATGGCTAAAACTAACCCAAGCCTGAATCTTTACACCACAAAGCACCCTGATCCCAACCCAAAACCCAATACGAGTCAGGTTGCAAAACCCTACAGTACAAACAGGGTGTCCGCGGGGTTGTAAAAGGTATTAAAATAGTGGCTTCGCAAAATGTAATACCTCGTCAGATTGACGTTTAATTACTTGTGAAGACTGTGGAAGGGCTGCCTGGAATGTGGGGCGAATGGCAGTGTTGACGACCGGGGTACAAATCCCCTAGGACGATTGCATGTGTGACACATCTCACGTGGATAATAACAGCGCTCGCAGGACGGATGCAATATGATAGTTCGTTAATTATTTTTTTTTTTCTGTGTGAGGGGTGATGCGCAGACATAACAAGGAGTGCACGTATTTTTATAAGAAAGAATGACAAGGTAAATGGAGTATTTTTAGAATATCTAGCTGTATGTGTGACAAGCGGAACATATTTTTTTTTTTTTTTTTTTTTTTAGGGATCGTTTTTTTTGTATTGGGGAGCATGGAATTATGAATATATCTGTTAGGGGGTTTATATTAATGTATCAAGGGGAGGTTTTTCACATCTGATCCTAGTGGCATGGATGGTTCTGTCCTATCACAGTACTCAGTATAATTCGCACCAATTGTATATGCTATTATGTATATGCTTTTATATTGATAGCAAGTAGTCTTTAGTTGAGGTCTACTGGTACGTCACTGCCTCAATGTGGGCGGAGGGCGGCTAAGGAATATTGTGGAATGGGATATCTCAGTATCAATGGTGAGCCCGATTTTCTTCTTTTTTTTTTTTTGAGGGCCGAATGCAAATGCCGGGGGTGTATGGGCGTTCGGTTCTGTATTGCAGGAAGCAACGGGACCAACGGACCGGCTAAGGCAAGGAGGGTGGTATAGGTTCTGGGATTGCGATTGTGTATCTGTTATGGTATGATATCACTCTGAATCTCATTGTACAGATCCTTAGGATATGCGCGCCGTTGTATGTATTCTCTGGTCGTGTCGCCAGATCTGCGGGTGGTTAATCACGGTTGTGAACTGCTCGGTGCCTGGTTTTGTCCCTCGGCCCCCCTTCTATGTGGTGTCTCCCTATGTATGTACGTTGGTTGAGGGCATTGTCCTGGGGTGGTCATTGATAATGGGTGGGCAGGGCAGCAGGGTCGGGTTAATTTATGGAGCGATTACCCTGTGGGGGTATCTCTTATGCACTGCCATGCCTAGGGATGAGGTCTTTTTTTCTTTCTGGGTTTTGATTGAGTCGGACTTGTGGGTCGTGTCTGCGGCTTGTATTATTTGGATTTTTTTTTTTTTTGTTTTTTATGTGATTACTGGTACGTGGGGCGAATAGTATTTTTTTTTCCTTCGCGGTGCTATGCTGTCTCGTTTTTTTTTGGTCACGAACCGCAAACCACGACGGGGGGGTTTCATTGAGCCGCTGTGGATGATATCGTCTCGTTAGGTAGGAGTCGTTGTGTGTGACAGGCTAGTTTTTTTGGGGGGTGGCTGTCGTGAGTTCGATGGTATTTCTGGTGATTTTGTGTAAGGAGATATCGTCTGTTTGTATTCATGGCTTTAGGGGGGTGACGAGGCGTGGGAGGGGGGGGTGTGGGGGTGATGAGGGTTCAGTATGGGTGGTTTGGGTGGGGGGTGGGTAGTTTTATGATTTTTTTTTTTTTTAAAGGATATGGATAGAAGTGGTTTATATAATGGAATTTTCGTGGCTATAAATCATTCAAAGATAAGGGGGATGGGTATATTTAATACATGATAGGGTCGCTATGGATATTAGTGCTATCAGTGGGAGTGGCTCGCACATGTTGAATGTTTAGTGAGTATAGTGGGGTGTGGGGGTGGAGGGTGAGGCGCGTTGGTCATTATTATATATTATTTATTTTTTTTTTTTTTGGTGGGGCGCGGGGGGGTGGGCGTCGGGGGTGTGGTGTTAATTTTTATTTTATTCAATTTTTTTTATATTTTTTTTTTAATTTTTCTTATATTTATTTATATTTTTTTTTTTTTATTTTTTTTATTTTTTTTTTTTTTTTTTTTGATTTTTTTTTTTTTTATTTTTTTTTTTTTTATTTTTTTAATATTTTTTTTTTCTTTTTTTTTTTTTTTGTTTTTTTTATTTTTTTTTTTTTTTTTTTTTTTTGTACTTTTTTCTTTTTTAATTTTTTTTTGTGGGATCATTTTTTTTGGGGGGCGCTGAGTGCGCTGGGGGTGTGGGGGGGGGTGGGGAGGTGTGTATTTGCGTCGTGGGTTTTGGGCAGCTGGGAGTTGTGGTTGGTGCGCTGGGTGGGGGGGGGTGGATTTTTGTGTCTCTGTGTGGGCGCGGGGTTTGTGGGGGTTGGTGTGTGGGGGGGGGTTGCGGTTAGCGAGGGGGAGCGGTTGTCGTATGGAGTAAATTGTAAGG